CTTTCCCTCCTGCCTGAAAGGAACAAAAGAGAGGCTAAGAGCTTGGCCCTTTGAGTGCTCGGCTACATCTGATCACAATTCATTGAGCAGTCAACATTTGCACACCTATACCACAGTATCAGTTATGTGCCTGAAATTACTGGCATTTATCAGGCATATATGACCACAACAGAAATGTTTTTAATAACGTTGACATAATTGAAGTGTGCACTACTTGAAAACATGTAGGAATATGTGTCTGTTTCGGAAACTCTCAATTCAGTGCTTAAAAATCTGAGCAGGTCCTGTTTATCTGAAATGCAGCTGTAGTCTGTGGGGATTATGCCATAGAACTGTATTTGTCTCTCAAGGACATCTCAATCACGTTTGCTGCACTTCACTGTAAAATATTGCCGCTTCTAGCTGCCATCTAGATGCCTTTTATCCATATCTTGAACTCTCAAGTTCAAAGTGCCCATATCAAGCTCATTTCTCTCCACCTTGCACAATATTTTAATAGTGAGCATTCTGTTATGGACATAGAGCCTTATCCTCCCTAAAGCTGCATTTTATTTCCAAAAGACCTTGGTGTTCTTGCAGCCCAAGGCTAGGGCTTTCATTAAAAATTTTGCATAGCTTATTAGAGTTAAGAGAAGAAGCAAGAACCCTTAGCTGTGATTTCTGAAAGAAATTAGGATATTTGATACAGAATATATAGCCCCATTGAGAAAGGCTATTCTATGTTTGCGTAATGATTTTTGACCTTGAATTTTTTTTTTTATTCTAGAAAACTATTGCATTGACTGCCAGTAAAAAACAGTAAGCTGTTTTACTTTCTTGAAAGAAAGCCTAAAGTTGTAACTTGAAACATGCAAAAGTTAAGGTTCTCCTAGCAATGTCAACCTTTTTGGATGATATAGACTCAATTAAGGCAAGTGTTCAAAAATATACTGTATGAAAAGCTTTCTTAAAAGTAACTGCTGCACGTCCTGACTCTTGTCATCTTTTAAACCTTAAAGTGCATCAACGTGTTTGATCTCATGGAGCAAAAGGTGATTCAGGAAAGACTTAACTTTCAGTGTTCAGCTTAGCATACATGTACACATACACACACTGTTATTTTAATTGAAGGCACTGCAAGGCAACATTTAGCTAAGGCTTCGGTAACTGTGACCGCACTAAGCATAACTGGCAAATAGGAAAATGCCAAATCTAACAATTTATAACGCAGATGTGCTTTTCCTATAAGGCTTTGTTATCATCGTAGGCGTAGCCACTATCTTTCAGAAGGTGATGCTGGAGGGATTTGAACAGACTTCCTTAATGGTCCTGCTGGAGTTTTGCCTGATAGGCTTATAACGATGCAGCAGCCACCGTAACATTAGGGAAAAGAATTATTTTTTCTCTCCTCTGCGCAGATGAGCCATTTAGAATACTGAGCACAAGCAATTAAGAGATATCAGAGACCATGAGACTGATTAGAAAATGGGCTCCAAATGAGTTCCCATCCCTAACTACTCTCACTGACAACACCGGTTATCACCTGTGCTATTTTGCTTTTTCTGCATGCGTCTTGAGTGGTGAGCCTTACCGCTTCTTCCAAGGCCCTCTTCCCTTTCCCTCCTCGTAACCAAAACTCTTTTACAGGCTCTTACAATTTTCTGCTTCCTCTGTTGAAAACCCTCACTCTTCAGTCTGACACTCATCTCTAATTCTATTTCCAATTTAGCAGTCAGGTTAGTCTTCCTTTCCTATCCATCAGACTACATTGCTTCCTTTCTTTGGTTGTCTCCTCACCTACTGTGCCAAGTTCAGACTTCTTGTTCAGATTTTTTTCTCTAATTCTCTGGAATGCATTTCTTGTTGCATCTTTTCACTTTCACCTCCAAAGCCTCTTAGACTGCTCCACGACCCTTTTCTCTTTCTTTCCTTCACTCCATTTTATATGCTGTTTTCTGGGCCAGCATTTTCTTCTCACCCCTGTGTGTCAAGAGCCTCTCTCTTTTCAGCCTTAGACCTTCTAGCCCTGTAAGCATCTGGGGGTAATCTCAGATGCTAATCCTTCTATAGGTTTGTTTATTGAATCTTTTCACCATATGGACTGGGGTCTGTAGGTAATTGTGCTTGCTACAATCCGAGATGTTTTAACAACGTGTCGTCATTAGCAACTCTAATGGTTGCTAGAAGCATGTGGAAATTTTACATCATTAAGATAGTGAAATTATCTGGGCATTTTAAAAGGAAAGAATGATGATTCCTGTTTACCTTTCCTTTAGCTTTTCCCTATAACTTCTTAGCCTTGAATACATAGAACATTTACAATTTGAAATCCCAGATAGGGGCAGGCTGAGAACAGTGACTTGCAAGTGCCCGTTTATCTGTATTTCAGACTCCAGGCATGAAACAGAATTTTAAAGCCGCTGAGTCTGTATTGGGAGGGGGATGAGGGAGAAGGGCGTTACAGTACAGCATAGTATCTTCTGTTGAGATAATCATATATTTTTCTCCCCTCTTCCAGTGGTGTTTTTTGTTATTTCTTAAAGATGAAAAGGTAGGCTTACTCTTTACTATAGCATACAAATAAAGTACAGGTAACGTGATTTGGGGGTATCTAGCTTTAGGAACTAAGTTGCAGGAACCCCCGCTATCTGTAAATAACCAGCTGGAGTTAGCCATGTGGTTGTTCCCTTCTAATGTGTCTTCCTTGCCTCTAATTGAATATAACTGTAACATTTGAAATTGAGCTTTGCACTTTGAAATGGAAAAGTAGCAGTTTTTAAAATGGCAAAAGGAAACTGTTTATCAAACTAATACAAGCTTTTGCTAGAGGAACCCTCTCCAGCAAATAATGCAGAGCCTGGAAGCTTCACTGGTTACTTGAAAGCATTAAGCAGCCTAAGGAAAATAGGTCTTATTGAAAGAGAAGAGTTCCAGTTCCTCAGCCTTACTCCTGGAGGAGGTCAAGATAACAAGCATTAAAACTGTGCTGATTTTCCATAAAGGAAAGATTCATTTTGCATGATCTGGCTAGGCTGTACACAAGAAAGATGTCCCCAGCTAAGGAATTGGGGTTCACCTCACTTTGTATATCTCCCATGTCTGATTTGGGGTGAATTACTGCTAGCCTCAGTTTCCCATTTGTCATGTAGAGATGATAACACCTGCATGCTCTCTGTCTTTCTTTCTTGTCCCTGTAGCCTTTGAGTTCTCCAGGGCAAGCATTCAGTTCTCACCTAGTTGGTACAGAAGCGCTAGTACAACAAAAGCTTGAACTCTGAGGGTTTCACATGCTTTACCTTACAGATATGTGAATATTGCTGTCTATTGGAAACCTGCCTAGGTGGACTGAGTAATTAGAGACTTGACTTTGTGGGTTGATAAAAATGAATTGTCCTGTGTTAGTGTCTTGGACACTTTAGTTACAGTTATGACAAATTCAAAAATACACGACAACAGTATGGTTTGGGATGACTTACCTTAATAGCTGTTCAGCCGTAGCCAACGCTGTTGCTGATGCAGCTGTCGTGGTGCTGTTGTGGTATTCCACCACGTCTTTGTATTGGAAACCCTAAAACGGGGTGTGACTGACTTGAATAACTTCCCAGTTTCAGAGTGGTCTCTGTATTTCCTAGCTATCTGTAAGCACTGTAGCAGATTAAGGTATTAACTACCACTCTCTGAAACAGGAATGTTCTCATCTGCCCTACAGCAAAGTTACCTGATGTCATTTGGCTGCTTCTGAAGTTTCGTTAAAATGAATTTTGTGACTTTGCACTGGAGCAGTTTCATACATTATAATAAGTCACAGCAGTTTATGTTGTGATCATATTCCTGTGCCCTGTCTCCCTCTGTGTTTTACAAAAGCCTACATGTCACTGATTTTCAATGGAATTTAGATTCCTGTGTATTTAGATGCATCTAAAAAACAGGCTAACTGTTGGCATGTAAAACTTTATCAGGAAATGTACTTACTTTGTATGTAGAGCATATAACTTATGGAAAATAATGAAGTAGGAAATGCTTTCAAGAGGGTAAAGTATATAAATAATAATAAAAGAAATGAAGGCTTTATGATACTGAACTGTGTTCTTGTTTCTTTAAATTCAGCTGCAAAAGCTAGGTAATAAGTTGTCACGATTTTTTGGTTTTCCCTCCTCCCCCCCCCCTTTCTTATGAGAGATATCTAGATGTGATAAATTATGCTTGATGAAACTATTGCATTTTCACATTCTTTTCCCAAATTCCATGGGGCCCTATTCATGTTTTCAACCAGATGAATGTCCTGTTATTTCAGAGCTAAGAGCAGAGGTTGAAATTATTGAGCAAATGAGTAGTAGCAGTGGAAGCAGCTCATCGGATTCAGAGAGCTCATCTGGGAGTGAAGATGAAAGCTCCAGCAGTGAGGGGGAAGAGCCAGCACATGTTTCCCCTTCCCAGCCACCACAGCAACAGTATAACAACAGGAATGCAGTTGCTAACGGCACCAGCAGGCCACAAGGAAGCAATCAGCTCATGAATACTCTCCGTAAGTTTTGTGTCTTACTGCTGTGGGAACCTGCCTGAGACCACCTATATTCTTAGCTTGTTAAGCTAACTCTGTGAAGTACAGTTCACCAAATAGTTATCGAAGGGAGTTTCACAGACTGAAATGTGCAGATAGGATTCTAGAACAGAAGGCTCAAGCCTGTCTGAAGGTGTGAAAATTACTTTCGTTTGGTCCAGAGCCTGTGGACACCAGTGCAACAGCCCCCATCGACCTTGCTGAGCCTTGATTTGGGCCTCCAGGTGGAGTGAGCGGGCAGTAAAGCGTCAGTGCGGGGGTATGGTGTATGGAAGGGAGGAACTATTTTTTAATGTGGATTAGGATCACATGTGTCAGTTGGTTAGAAGTCACCAGAGAAGTGTGAATGACACAAGGCTGTCCTGTAATCATAAATGCACCGTCTTTGCCCTCTGTTTATTAGCTCTAATGTTTTGTCACAGTATTTATACTATGTTGGTTTCAGCTGCATTTTCACAAATTTCACATTTTGAAGTGAAATTTAAAGTGCCAGATATTTGATTAATATGCCATAGCTATGATGACTGAAAGCACTGAGTCAGTACAGCTCACTCTGTTGTTTTAAAAGTGCTAATATTCTTAAGGGATAGTTTTGTCCCATCAGGCTTTCTCAGGGGAGGTGGTGTACATCTGTGTTGTTCTTGTTTTACATTAGGTCAGGTGTATGCTAGCCCAGTGAAGTTACATTATTACATTAACAAGAAACTAGAACTTAGTTATTGTAAAACATTCCTAATTCTTCCTAAGGCATGTCTGAGTACATCTCTCAGCACCCACACATAGGGAATTGGTGGAGCTTAAGTGCAAATAAATGTAGGGTTTCCAGCTTCAAGACGGCAAGTTCTGGTACTATACTGACAATACTTGAAAGGCCTGCTGAAAAACTGGAGAGGCCAGTCAGGATTCCTGTCACTAATGAATGCCTGAGGTGACAACGTGGGTGAAATCCAGAGTGCAGCAAAGTCAGTAGGACGCTTTCCATTGATTTTTTTTTTTTAATTTTTTTTTTTTTGGAGGTAGGCTCTAGTTAAGGCAGCAGCTTACAAACTGTTTCTGGTTTTGAGATGCCTCTTCCCTGCTTCTCTTGGGCTGTGACTACAGGTGCTGCTTAGATCACTGAGAAGCCTCTGACCCCAGGAGGGTTTGTGAACCTGTATTTGGGAACTGGTAAGGTCACTCCTTTTTTTTAGGCAGTGATTTTCACCCTGATTAATGTCCTTGAGCATACAAGTCTCTGGTGACCATCTGCATGGGGAGAAGCACCCCTAACCCAAGCTGGGTTTTTTTTTCAGCTTTTTTTCAGCAGGTCAGTTGCCGTTGCATAGCTACTCTGTGGGGAGCCTGTGTTTAGGGCAGGGTCATGGGAGTCATGGGAATGTCCTTAAGACCTAAGTTCCGTTACCAGAACAAGAGCATTATTTTTGCACCCTTTTACCCCCTCTACCTGCCCCCAATCCTAAGAGCTCTGCAAGACAAAGATCAGAGGCTGTAGGCTTAATCCACATCCAGGCCTTTTTGCGTCTTATCTCTCTTTTGTGCTTTGGGGGGTCTTAGCCTTCCTTCCCCTTCACACCCTTTTGTCAGCTTAGTTCAGCCGATAGCCTTGAGTTGCAATTACTGTACCATCCCTTCTGGTTTACTGACACACAGAGGCCTTGCCTTGGCTACCCAAACTGCTTTGAAACAAAAAAGTCTATTTTAATAGGATCAGTGAAGCCGGGGAATTCCCCAGTGCCTTTCCCAGGGCCATATACAGAAATTTGGCTGAGTGGAGTTCCTTCCACGGTTGCTAGCAAGGGGAATGCTGCTCTACCCCCAAGAGATAGCATTTGGGAGCTCTGAGGCCGAGGAGGTTTGGTTTGGCCTGGATCAGACCATATATTAGCCTTGTGCAGCTTGTAATATTCTTGAGCTTGGAGAGCAGTTTCATTAAACGACAGAAATGATGTTTGCATTTGTTTCTTGTATTATTCTTATTTAAATGTTCCAGTTTAAATGCAACTGTTCTTTGGTTTGATTGCAATGAAATGTGAATTAACGTCTACCCACTTGTTGTGTTTTGTTGTTTTTGTTTTCCACAGGAAATGACTTGCAGTTGAGTGAGTCTGGGAGTGACAGTGATGACTAGAGGCTCAGCTTTTGCTGGTTCTGATGCATATACATGAAGAACTTATATACTTTGCAGTGATCCTGTTGCTTATGAAGAGGAGCTAGCACAAGGATAGTTTCATGAGTGGAATTTTAATAGAAGAAATGCATCACCCTACAAAATATCAAATGCTGGAGGCAGTTTTACTTTGTGTATTAAGTGTATATTTTGTGTATATTCTTATTCTTTAAAGTTTTAAATAGATATGTACAGTGAGTAAGCCAATATATGTTCCTGTCTGTTCCTTATCTGTAAGCTTAATGTGTAGCCTTTTGAAGTCATCTAAAAATTTCTTCTTTGTAGAAGATATTCAGAACCACTGTAACTTAGCAGGGGGATTTTTTGTATATAGGGTAAGCATGAGCCAACAGTGAGTTTAAAAAAAAAAAAAAAACATTCAGGAGCTAGTGTGCATTGAAGTGATATTGTCATAAATTAAGTTTCAACTCTAAGTTGATTTCTTCGGTTTGGGGCTTTTCTAATGTCTTTTTATTGCTATTTAGAGCTGATTTGATGGACATACTTCTAAACAGTTGGAAAAAAGAAGTCATAAAACTATGTTCATCACAAACCTTGCTGCACTAGTGCCTTATAGCAGGTTTTTTAAACAGACCTTGAATTCCTGCCACCTTTCATACAGGGTGCAATACTGAAAAATCTTCAGATTGTTTTGCAAACAAGAACTGTGTTTAACATACAGGCCAAGTGCATTCTGAGGGCTGTTGCTCTAGGAGGATAAAAGATATATATCAGTCATCTAAACACATCCAAATAAGAACCAGAGCAGCATTTTCTTGTGCGATTGCTGTGTCTCATTTAACTCAGACAGTCGGGCCCCGATCTTCAGAAATATTTAGGAGCCTGATTCCCAGTGAAATCGCAGCGTCTCAGATACGAGATACAGGACCTTCTGAAGTTTAAGACCATAGCCCTGTTTGCAGTTTCCTAGAGAATATAGAAAGAAGATGTAACTCAACAACAGATAATGAAACAGCAGAAGTCTCTCTCCCACTGCAGTTGTTCAGGTAGCCTTTAGTCTGTATTGTTTGTTGGATGGCAGAAAACAAGAAATACTTGCCTAGGGTGAGATTCACCTCAATTTAAGCGTGTTTAAAGGGTGTTTGGTTGGATTGTCATTAACTTTCTTGCTCCCATGGAAAATGAGTGCCACCTCTTACAGGTTGAACACAAGGCTGACTTTTTAAACCCAGAATTCCAGTGGCAAAGGCCAAGTGGCTCAGCAGTTCTAGTAATCCAGGAGAACGCAAAGCTGAATTGGATGCCTAAATTTCTGCTTTACACAGCTTTTGTCGGTCTGTTTGTGTTTTAACTCCTATTTGTTTACTGAGCTCTTTTTGTCTTTTTTTTTTCTTCTTTTTTAAGGTATTGAAGAGCAAGGGGACATTTGAAGGGAGATTTTATTAAATGGTTTATTTTTTTGCATTAGATATGTATTTAGGCATATTTTTTCATCATTGTACATATGTTTAAGAGTACTTTTTTTTAAAGTGTTTTATGATGTGGGTACATATTTTAACATGCAATTATGAAATATACTTGATGTAAAGTTATGAGTGATCTGATTCTTTTTCCCCCTCTTTCCTCCTCTGAGTGTACCAGTGCTCTCTTCTACCAAGCTGTACCAGTTTGAGGTTTTACATTTTGATGCAAGAGATCTCCTACTGCATGGTAATTTGTAGCCTAGTTAATGGTAATAGTGCTCTTGACTTTTCCCCAGCTTAAGATTTGAGTAAACAGGGAGGCGTTCACTGTTACTGTTTCCCCGTTACTGGAACGTATCCTTGAGATTTGACAGTATTACTTACGTTTAAATGAAAAAGCAGCAGTGCAGCATTTTCGTTCTTTATCGTTCCTGGCTGCACATGCCCTCTGAAATCCAGGACATGTCATAGGAAGTTTACTAATGTTATATAAATAAAATATAGAGAACTTAAGAGAGTAAGACAACACCAGGCCACATTAAAGTGAATTGCCAATTTAATCATGGTTTAAATCAGCAAGTGGGAAGGCTTCATTCAGATAATGAATTTCCACCTTGTTTTGTATTTGTACTTTGGGTGATGTTTCCCCCTTAAAAAGTTGGCTTCCCTCCCTGTTAGTTAGTAACCAAACCAGCATATTTTCATGCAAGTACATACTATTTTTAAGCTTCCTTTGGCAAGCCTTTGTGTCCCCTGGAGATGGGTCACACCAGGGCTGGCCAACCTGTGGCTGATGAGCTGTTGAGCTAAGCATCGCTGGGACCGCATCCTCTGGCTAACTGCGAGGCTGGTGAGTAATGCTGTGTCCCACTCGTGGGTGGAAGCAGGCCCGTCCCTGTGCGTGTGTGACGAGCCTGACACCTCCCTGCCACGAGCGGCTCCCAGCAGCTCCTGTGTCTCCTGCCCGAGGAGCGCTCTGGGATCTCCACCTTTCCCGCAGCTCTCGCAAGTACCTGGCATGAGTTTTGCACTTCTCAGCTACATGGAGATTTCGGTCAGCAACTCATAGTATCAGAAAGGCTGGCTGCCGCTGTTTTACATCAGTAAGAATGTATTAAAGCCGTTACTGAGCCTGACGTTTTCACTGAGGTTCTTAAGTTTCATACGCTGAGAAATAGTAAATGTTGCCTGTCTCTTTTTATTAGATGGCTGTTCATTTGTTGTTTGTGCTTTGCAGCAAGTTCTGTTCAGATGGGAATTGGAATTCAATTAGCTCACAGAAAAGTGGTTATTTAGAATTCTTTTAATTAGTTGACTGGCAATATCTTTAACAGGCTGGAAAAATAAGTTGACTAAAATATGTTTTGAGTAAACCTGTTAATGAAAAAAAGTATCACTTACTATTTCTGGTAGGTTCTGATCTTGGAAGATTTTAGAACTAGCAGATCTTATCATCTCATGGTAATTTTTACACAAAAAGTAGAAACTTTTTTTTTAATCTTCCAGTTGGTTCAATATGAGTAAACAGTACATATTGAATGCAATTTTCTGAATAAACTGAAACTAAGAAAATATTTCTTTACATTCATGGGAAAGATTTTTGCTGGCTATAGCAAGGTTAGCAGTTCAAGAAGTTATGGTTTCTGTTTGATGACTTCATCCATTTCAGTGGTCTAACTTTGCTGAAAACTTCACCAGCGAACATGGCCTGGTTGTTGGGACAGTTCTACTATCAATAGTCAATAATGACTTTAATTGATTCAGTTAGGTTGTCATAATTTCAATTATAGTTACTAATTATTTTTTTGAATAAAAAAGTTTGGTTTCAAAAGGGGCAAATGCAGCCATGTGCTTGTCCATCCTGGACACCTGGAAAAAAGATTGTAACGACGTCTGAGCTCGCGTTTGAAATTTTAGTCACTTGCAGAAAAGCTCCCACCCACCTCTGCCCTGATTTCCCCGAGGGCTGCCGGGCCTGACAAAACACGCACGGCTGGAGTCACCGGAGCTAAACCACGTTCAGGGTCAGCACAGGGCAAAACAGGACCCAGTCCCTTGATGACAGTTGCAAGCTATGAGGGGGTGCAGCATCACCCCCTCCTGTTCCACCCAGCACTGCCCCCCCACCCCG